TGAACCAGAGGATGTGGAACCTGCAGGGAACTGTGGGTAACATTTGACTGGCTTGGTCTGCTTGTGGGGTTTCTGGCAGTGGGACTTGGATTTATCCCTGGCGCATGAACTGGCCTTTTGGAGTCCACTCCCTATGGTCGGATACCATGCTCGGCCTTGATTCAGTGGGAAGGGGCTTGGGCCTGCCTCAACTTGATGTGCCGGACTGGCACAACCATAACTGAATGGAATAGCAGAAGTCATAAAGCCAGCACAACTGCTCGACAAAGATCCAGCAAAGCTGAGGCACATGATGGCTGCCATGCCACCTTTGATTTTCATCTCCATCTGTTACATACTTGGGGCACTTTTCATATTTGTACAATTTGAGGATATTGGGCTGATGGAAAATTCCTTATGAATCAGTTATGCCTTCTCCAAGGAATGCTGCTTCTAAGCTTACCCAGGAAAGTCCTGAACACACTATTCCCCCCACACACTTTGAGGGAGATATCCTTATCTACTTGAAGGTCTTCGTTACGCCTTGGACATAAAGAAGCCAGAGGTCTCTTTATGAGGCTATGAGACATTCTTGAAACATCTGTCCCTCTACTTACACAGGAACAAGATATTAAAAATAAAGCAAAATCAAAAAGGTCAACAAGATTTGGTGGGCTAGAGGAATTGTCCACAGTTCAGATTACAAGCCTTTTCCCACTGTACACTCAGACAATTATGTGGCATACAACTCTGCCCTACATAGAAACATATTGATAAGTAAAGTATGGAGTGAAAAGATGATGAAAGTATGAGGTGTCAGGACCTCCCTCTCTTAGAAGTTAGCTCATGTAGAGCCACTATAATATCATATGACCAAGGAACAACAGAATGCCAGGATTAGACATATAGACAAATTCTATAAGGATATAAATATGAATATTGATTGTATTATGTCAGAATTTGAATAACTGCAGCAGCTTTAGCCTGAGGATTTTTCCTGGGCACTCTGACCACTAAGAGTTAATAATAAATTGCTTGAGACATGGCAAAATGCCCAGAGTGGTTGAAGATTTTTGTTCTGGTCTAGAGTCCTTGAAGCAACCAAAGCAACCAGCCTGAGCACAGGCTGTCATATGCCTTTAGATTCTCAAAAATTGGGTTATGGGGTTTATGAGTAAAAATGATAACTGTTTATTAATGATGTCAAAACTTGAGGGAAATGATTGGAAATGATAACTCTGTTCTTTCATAGTTTATTAATGATGACTAAAAGATGAGCAAAGGGAAGTGAAACACATGTCCAAAAACAAAAATGATATGATCTTTGTTTTGGAACATCATGAATGTATCCCTGCTAACTAAATTCTGTATATATAAAGAAACACTCTGGCTACTAGTCAGTCAGGCTGCAAGATTCTCCCGACCACCATGGCCTGGCTCACTTCCTTCTCCTGCTGACTCCTTACACCCTCTACAGGACCCACCCACCACTGGGAATGGCTCCCTGCACCAGACCTTATTGACACCCCATGGGAGGCTTTAATTTCTCTGAGGAGTGGATGGGAGGGGTGGGAGGGAGGTGGGGAGAGTGGGAGGAGGAGAGGGAGGGAGAAGTGTGATTGGTATGTAAAATGAAAAAAATAAAATAATATAATATATGAAAAGAACATAGTTTCGTATGAAAAATATAAAATTGTCTTGCAAAAGAAATAAAGATACATCATGTTTTTTTAAAAAAAGAAGTTATATGACACCCGCAAGCTTGGAACTTACTATATAGTTTTACTCCACTCACTGTGAAATAGAATAGCTATATTTTTTTCCTATTTCTTTGTGTTTCAGGAAATTAAAATGAAAAATGTATTCAATAGTTTTTAGCACTTTCTTTGTTTAAGGAAGTTCACATAACTATTTATAGAATACCATAAATATTTCATTTCTAAGACACATACATGATAATTGTATTTATTTTATTTTAAAGTTGCTATTGATGATAACACATAGAGTTATAAACCTTAAGCATTTGAATATCTATGTATTTAAGTTTATGTGAAATTTTGTTCTGATTAATTATTTATTTTGGCCAGGTTGTACCTCCTAAAGTTTGATTGGGGAAAACTATGATGGATAGGAGTTTAGATACAATATTAAACATGCCCCAAATATCAGTTACTTAAACAACCCAAGTTTTCATCCATGTTACACACCATGGGAAGATTAGCAGAGCTGACTGATAACCACCCTCACTCTGAGACCCAAGCTGAGGGACCAGCACCTGTCTCCAGCACCTCTTAGGGGAGAGTGGAAATGGCAAATCCTTCCACATCTCTCAAAGCTTATGCTTGAAAGGAACAAGCATTAATTTTCCTCTTAGTTTTTGAATAAAGTCAGAATCACACACACAAGGATCTCAATAAAGATAAAAATGCATTTTCAACAAAAGAAAAATTTTAAACTAATGTGTACCGTATCTTAAACTGCTTTTAGTTTTTATAAAGAATATAGATAAAATAAATGAAAAGTGACTCCTCACTGCTCCCGAGATGCACAAACCAAGATGAATAAGCCTATGGATACATCAACTAAGGGAATACATCTACTTGAGTGAAATGGCATCTAGAGGCAATGGAGAATAGAAATCAAGAAATTGCAAACTGCATAAAAATTTGAAGATCCTGTGAGACATTCAATCCTTAGACAGAACGACTCAGCTTACTAATCACCATCAAAAGCAAGAAATATCTGTCCCTTTGCGATGTTCTACTGGGAGCAGTTTCTCCCAGGTGGTGGGCCAAAGAGGCTCTCAAGCTTGATAACTGGTGGTGCTTGTAATTGTTTTCTTCACTCTTGTAACCACAGCTGTGGTGGGTATTCATTCAAAACTGCAAAGCCAACCCTGTAAAAGCTTTCATATTAGATGTTTGCTCCAGAGATCCCAGTAGCAGTGACATGGCTCACAGACGTAGCCCGACAGGAAAGTACAGTGACCACCGATTCAAGTACTGCACAGGCTGCTGCTTCTTAGTTTTTGTTCTCAAACTCCCATGGGGAAGAGTTCATTCACCAATACTTCCATCATTGGTAAGGAAACTAGTGATGTGTATTATTTACTAATATGGTACTTCTAGAAGCTTAGGTGAATTTATGGTTTAGTCAGATTATACTTACATATTCAACATCCTTTTGATACAAAATATTTTAAATATATTCTGTTCCTCTAAAACTGTAGCTAAGCAGTGATCCTCAAGAAAGACGGAAAGTCAGTACGTATTTGAAACCAAACCTACTCAAGTTTATTAAAGATTAACATATAATTCCAGAATAACTTTCTTGTACTTGTGCTATGTATTAGAGTCTAGACAAATAAAAAACACATGCATAAATATAAATATAAAGTAAATTTTAGGGAGTGAAAAATAATTTAGGAGGTTTTCTTATTTTCCTATTATATAATTGGTCATTTTAATATCAAAAATGGATATATTAATAATTATCCAGGTATTTGTTTGTTCATGTTCTATTTTCTTCTACTAGTAAACAATTATTTGATATTTTGATGACCTTACATGATGTACACTCTTGACTTAAAACAATTCTTTAAGTTCTCAATACACATACATACCCCTGTCCTTTGTTTGGGACCTTAGGGCAATAGTAAAACTTACCTTAATTTTCTAGAGTGAAAACACCTGGAAAATGGTTCTCAGAAATAAAATCTATTTTGATATAAAGTTATTTTTTATTTCTTTCAAGATTTACCTTTGGAATCATCTCCATTATTATAATAAAGTGATAAAAATATAAACATTTAAAAATAAATAACAGGAACATTACATGGGTTAGCCTCCCACATTCAATCCTGTTACAGATTTCAATGATGAAACTTTCACAAAAGAAGATGGTGAGGTCATGTAAGTACCTGGCTGCAGACTGAACGTGTGGGTGACAGTTGTCTAAGGGATAGTACAGTTTCAACCCTTGGGACTCCACAAGCCTGACAGAGTACTCATCTGCACCTGACAACATTTTAAATTGGATGGAGCAGATTCTCCTATCTGGGTTATTGCTAGAAAATGTGGATATTTGGAAGTATCTCTGAGATAATATACTCCTACCCATACCTCAATAGCCTCTGCATAAAATGTGTAGAATTAGTATTCATAATTGCATCATTCCATGATTATATAAAATGCCAGGGCTTTAAATACTAAAAAGTTAAACTTCATGTTAAATGAATTATATATTAATAAAAAATAACATTAAAAAAGAACAATATAACAGAAAATCACATTTTTTTCTTCTAAAATTAAAATCCCTTTCCATGTTCTATACTGAACCAAATTTCTGGTCGCCTCTACAACCAGTTCCTCTAAAAGCATGTGTCAGATTGACTTTGTTACTCTCAAGTGAGGAATGAATTCATAGCTCTTATTTTGACGGATTAAAAAGAATGCTCTTCCAGATGAGTTTTTCCTTATCCTGGATTTTTTTTCCTCATCTGAGAGCAAAAGCACACCTGAGGCTAAAGATCTTCTAAAAGAGCAACTTATTCATGCATGTTTATACAATGCTTTTCCAAGTGAACAATACCCAACAAATAATCGTATTGAATTTCATAAATGTCACTGGGCAATTAGATGCTCAAGTTCAGAAAGCTTTAAGCAAACATCTCAACTGTGTTTTTGTTGTTTTTAATGTATTGAACTGAATAAAGCTAAATTGGAATTGAACAACCTGAAATACAGAAAACAGAAAACGTGTGTGTGTGTGTGTGTGTGTGTGTGTGTGTGTGTGTGTGTGTGCCCACATGAAGAGAAAGAAAGAGGCAGAAAGAGAGAGACAGATTGTCTTTGTCCAGAAATTTCACTGATCTGAGTGGAGTTTACCAGTTTTGAAAAAGCAACAATCTTTCTTCTTTCAGTTATCTCAGCCACCTTCTTGGTAAGGTCCATGTGGATGGCATTCATTTGCCTCACACTATTAGGAAGTAACGACAAGACAAGACAATTGGCTTCACTTACCCCTTCCAGAACAAAGCAGGTCAGAGCCACTCTGGCACTTCTTGGTGCTCTCCTCAGCTGACAATGGGCAGGACCGTGGGTGCTCACAATTCTTCCCATACCAGCCTGCTCTGCAGTCACATCGTCCACAGTTACACTGTCCATGACCTTCACAGTAATGGGGAGGAGGAGACCACATGAAGATTATATAACCAGAAATATTTTATAGCTTTTATTCTAGCAGTGGCTTTCAGAAGTAAGTCAGGACCTTAATTTATACACCACTAACCATTAAGTCAAAGGAATATTTTATCTAAAATATTAAAACAACTGATGTACATTAATAGATCAAAAAGAACAAAGAAAAGCAACAAGTATGGATAAAATAAATGGGTTAATAAGGTTTTAAATTTGAGTCTATAAGATTCTAGATAAATGTGATTGTATTGGTCTACTGGGAAGTAAGGGGTATATTTGATGGATTTGCCAGTTAATTCATATGAAGGAGAACTATAAAAATAGAACACAATCATTTTTTGAAGTAGTTCTTTTTCTTTCTATTGAATCACTCAACTGATCTATATCTACTTAAAAGAAATAAGGAGCCACAAACTGACAACCAAGCCATGAAATTGAGAATTAGGGAGAAGTTGAGATCCCCATTCATGAGCTTTACTAAGCTATTACATATATATGTGTGTAATATATATATGGTGGAAGTGATTAGAGGAGTCAAAGGATGTGACTATATTGTAATTTATTTTTTAATCTATGAAAGTGTACATATTGAAAGTACATAGGAATAATGCTGTTCTTCACATGCTGACTGAGCAATGATTACCACAATCAAGCTAATGGCCAGATCTCTCACTCCACACAGGTGCCTATGAATACTCTAGATCTATCTTCCCCACAAATCTAAAGTATACAGAGCACAGTATTATATTCACCATGCTGAATGTTATGACTTCTGAACTTATCTGTAACTTTGAAAGTTTATATGCTTTGATCAATACCTCCTACCCTTCAGTGCTTGGTAAACACCCTTCTACTCTGTTTTTAAGAACTTAATATTTGGTAGCTGGAAAAAATGTCTCAGCAGTTAAGAGTACTTGCTGGTCTTCCAGAGGACCTGGGTTAGGGTTTCAGCAACAACATGGTGGTTCACAACTATCTGTAATTCCAGTTTCAGGGGATCCAATGCCCTCTTCTGACCTCTGTTGGTACCAGAAATGCAAATAATACAATACATGCAGGCAGGCAAAACACTCACACCAAAAATAAAAATTGTGCAAATGTAATAAAATATAATCTAACATTCTTAGATTCTGTACAGTTATGTTCTATGTCTGTTTTCTTCATGGTTCAGCCATGTTATTGCAAATACCAAATTTCTTTCATGGAGAACACTATTCCACCATATGCACCTGTGTCTACATATACATATATCCTTCACCCATTCATCTAGCCACAGCCCCTTGTTTTTAAACCTTGGCTATTATGAAAAACAGCACATAAGCAGGTAATGAAGATACCACTTCAAGATAATGATTCCATTTCTTTTGGAAATGTACTCAGAAATCTTTTCCTTCTGTTTCCTCCCTCCAAAGTTGCACATCCACCTGTCTCTGTTCTCTTTTGAATTCGTGGCCTCTTCTTTCCTTAGAAATGATAAAATTCACATTGTAAAAGTTTTTTAACCATATACTGGCCTGGTTCTTTACAATGATAATATTATGGGTCAGAGTGAAATGGTGTAATAGTGAATATTAATTTATTAATTAATGATTAATAATCATTAAGTGTAAATATTTTAAATAATAAATTGAATTCAATGAACATTTCTTGAGTCCCTGTTACATGATAATCTGTTCAACAATGTGCTTTCATCACTAATTCTCTATAATTGAAGAAGATATGTTATTGACAAATACTTATAATTTGTGAGTATTTAGTATTTTGATCATTTAGATCTTCCAACACAAGATTTTTACTTACTTTTTGTACTTATTGAAAGTTACATTTTATAAATCATTTAGTCCCATGACATTTTTGCAGTTTATCTCAGCTTAAGAAATTAGTTTTAGTTCTTAGTTTTAACTGTCAACTTTATTAAGTCTAGGGTCACCTACGAAAGAAGTCTCAGTTGAAGAATTCTCTAAACAGATTGTCTCTTGGGCATTTCTGTGGGGGGACTGTCTTGATTTTTAATTGATATAGGAGGTCCTACCACACTGTGGGCAGCACCATTCCCTGGGCAAATTTGACCCTGAGCCAAATAAAAAGATAGCTAAGTGTGGGTCTGTGAGAGAGCTGGCAAGAACCCTTCCTCTATAATTTCTATTTCAAGTTCCTGCTTGAGTTACCACCATGATTGCCCTCAATGGTGGACTATGACCTGGAAATGTAAGCCAAACAAATCCTTCCAATCCCTAAGATGCTTTGATCATGCAATTTGTCACAGCAATCTAATGAAACTAGAATAGCATCTTTCTTCTCTGCCCTCCTAAACATAAGAACAATCAGAAATGTATGTATAAATAATTACTTTTGAAATAAAAAGCTTTAACACTTAAAGTACAATTTATTCTGCTGTTTTATAGGAGCAAGTGTCTTTGAAGCACTTGGACACAGGCAAGAGATTCAGCTCAGGGACTGTTAGATCTGTACGGACACAATACAGGACATACTGCCATCCATCCCTAGGCTAGTTGACATTCTTAGCAGTAAAATTGAAGGAATGGTTAGATTGGAAGAAAAGTCTTACTTATTCTTGGAACTTTTAAAATGGTAAAGTCTGAGCAAAACATCTAGTAGACAAAAATGTCATTATATCCCTAACTTACCCAAGAGGATAACACCTGCTGCTGTGACCCACAGGAATCACAGTCAGGGAGAATCTTCTCCCATCACACACAGAGGAAGATCCTTTCCAACCCAGAGAGGACAAAAAGAAGCAGAGGAGAGTACAGACTGTGATCTGCACCACAATTTCTGGTGTGCCTGCTATACTTGGTATTACGAAGTTCTTGAGGATGACTCCTATGAATTTAGATTTCATCTCTGGGCATGTCAACCCTAGCTTTTAGCTATTCAAAAGCCTCTACAATCAGTCATTTACTCATCCATATGAGTTAAAAGACTGTGTCATGGGTGTGACTGGCTCTGAGATCACAGGCATTGCCCTTCAACAGGAAGTGCCAAGGTGGGAGAACACTCTCTGGCTCAAGATGACTGCTCACTCTCCTGAACCATCTGGGTAAGTATATGTGTTTTCTCTTTCATTTTCCCAAAAAGGATTCAGTATTAGCCAAAAATGTTTAATCTGGGAGACATTAAAACAGGAGAGCAGTACCTAAGTCATACAAGATGTATGGAGTTCTCCAGAGCTAGTGAACATACAGCAGCTGGTGTAAATGATGAAATCTTAAAGTGACATATTTTCTTTTTTTATTAATGTGGGGGAAGCAATATATCCTAAGTCAAATATACCAATGAGGAGCACACAAGAAGCAAATGCAGAATCATAGGGAAGTTTTTGTAAATCCAGTCTACAATGATGAAAGATGGAGTTAACACTGGCAATGCTAAACTGGGTGTGTTGCTTCGGTCTGTAACCCCAGCACTCCAGAGGCTGACACAAGATGACTTTTTTCTAGCTTAATGTCAATCTGGGCTACACAATGAGCTCCAAGCCAGACCTGCCTATGGAATAAGACTAAATCTCAAAATAAATAAAGAAATAAGAGTACTCTTGACTAATTTAAACATTTATTTAAGATTAACTTATAATTTTCAAACATGATTTTTACTTCTCAGTAGTAAAAGCTCTTCTCATGTCTTGATTTTAAGAAGTATGTTCTATGCTGTCAAAATAAATTTAGAATGTTAGTGATTTCATTCTAAATAAAACTGCATTTCCTACAAAAGATTTTTAATCCATATAGTCAGAAACTCATTTAGAAGTGTAAAGTATTGACACCAGATTGCCAGGAAGTGGCTGAGTCAGAAAAGTACTTGGAAGAACAAGGTATTGGTACTGAGTCCTAAAGAGGAAACTAAGAAATAACACTGTGGTCTCTTTTCTAGAGTTAATAGTTCCTCAATTCCAATCAAAAAGCCCAGCTAAAGAGAAAGGGATCATTGGGCAGAAATAAATTCAGGAATATAAAGGTTTGGTTTTGATTAAAAAAAAAGAATTTGAAGTAAAAAATACATTTGTCATGAGAATCAGTTAGTCTAACACACTACAACATACTATTAATTTTTTAAGGCAAATATGGGAGAAAAGGCTTACCATAAATAAAAATAGGTGTTTTACACTTGACTGACATGTGCCACTGTCCTTTCCTAGGCCTCATCAGAATTTAATCTGTCTTTCAAGTAGACAGAACCAAAAAGGACTCTAACCACACTGATCAGAACATAATGCTTCCAGGCTAGTTTGTCAAATCTGTGTATGTTTAAGCCTGTAGGAGTTAGTCACATTTCTTCTAACAAATGTTCTTTAAACTGCATAGGCAGATCAACAAAATTGAGATGAAAGATGTAGGATGTTGTTGTTTAACCCTGATCTCAACATCAAAGTGTTAAAATAAAACCATTCTCAGATACCCTGTACACATGTGTACATGGACACATAAACACACACATACCTGCACACATATATATGGACACACATGCATGGACACACACACATGAATACACATGTATGCATATATGCAAACACGTTCACACAGAGATGAGTTTGAGTATAATCTACCTACTCCAAATGTAACTGCCACCCAGGCTATTGCGCATGGTCAAGAAGGTTCACAGAATGAGTCCTAATCCAGTAGCATGATGGCCATTCAAAGAAGGCACCACAAAGGCTATTCTAGGATGAGTGTGACAGACAAACACAAATTTCAATTGTGAATTATGTTCTCTTGAGTTACAACATTTAATTCTAAAAAAAAAAAAAAAATCAGTATAAATTTAGCTAACTATATTTTAAATATTTTTTTGTCCTGGAAATTTTTTTTTTTTCGAGACAAGATTTCTCTGTGTAGCTTTGGAGACTGTCCTGGAACTCAGTCCGTAGCCCAGGCTGGTCTTGAACTCACAGAGATCTGCCTGCCTCTGCATCCAGAGTGCTGGGATTAAAGGAATGCACCACCACCACTTCT